CCCACTAGCTTGCTTTCAACAGCTAGAAACGGGTGCTCATCTCCCAATTGCAATCTCCTGGGGCAATTGTAGTTCTTTCTCACATTCTCCCATTCACCTTTATTTGACTCTTTGCTCCCAGACAGGAATGATAAACATTCCATTTGTATCATCCATAGCACAGAAAACAAACATGGTATTACATGGGTTGGTTCACCATGTGACTGATATATGTTCATCCAACTTTATTGTAAACTCCTTTTCTGGTTTGAGCCATCATTATACCCTTAGTAGTAAACAGAAGGCCCAACCCATAGAAAATACTTATTGCAAGATTAGATAATCAATTGTGATGACAGGACATCTGTCACAGTATTCTAAAAGAGGACTAAGATTATGAATGACAAGTCAAAAATGCAGGCCTGATTAATCCAGACCCTGCATTCAACCTTCCTGTGACTCAGAAGTGGTGAGATCCCGCCTGCTTCCTGCCCAGACTCACCCTCAGGTACAGACAGGAGCATCATTTTCATCTCTCCATGTCTAAGTGATTGAGTCCCAAAGTTTAGGCTGATAGGACATCTAACCTTACAGACACTTATACAATAGATCATTTGTCGTAGTTAATACGTCAGATGATGGATCATGAGAGTGTATGCTAAGATTAGCACATCCTTGGTCCAGACCAATAGTGAGTGAACAAACTCTCAGTCATATAGCCTAGGTTACTCGAATGCTGGCTCATCTCAAAGAAACCAAAGCTGCACAAAGCAGGAAACACATCTTGCTCTTTTTTTGCATGAAGTTTTGGGCTTATGTCACAATACTAAAGTGCTAAAGTATTTTCCCAAGCTACCTATAGGTATCTGATACTGGCAAATACTGACTTGCAACCTCTTTTTTCCAAGCTTTGCCACACATAACTAGCACACAGGGAGCAATACTTAATTGTGATATCAAGAACAAAGAAAAATAAAATGTACTCATTCTCATACATTTTCCTTCAATCAGGTACAACTTAATTTTCTTAAACTTTCCCATTTTCCTATAATTCTTTGTGTCTGTCTGAAGCTTCACACTATACTCCTCCCTTGGGTAAGCATTTGGTATTGTCAACAACTCTATATGATTAAAGCAAACCTATATATTCTGTATGAATTGAGGTTCCTTATGAAACCCAAACTCCACTGAGCTGGGTTACCAAACTTCCTCTGCTCCATTCTATAATACACTATAAAAGTCACAACACTTACAAACCAAATTTTAGCAAACAAAAATTCATAATGAATTCACAAGAAGCATATTACTGAAATCTTCAGGTGCAGGTTTAAACTGAAACCATTCCTCCACCTACAGGACTAATGTAAGGACTAATGTAACAGAGAACTCTGCTGGTATTCACAATGAATTAAAATGTGGAAACTGTGTACTTTTAGCAAACAAGAAAGTCACAATCTGTTTGATCCACAGCCATGTATCCAGTTGATCTCAGCCACTTTCCCCTTATTATAATAGTCACCAATTATTTCATACCAAATAATAGATCACACTCTCACCATGCCAAACATTTTCTATTGATCTTTAAAACTACCTTTTCCTATGTTGAAACTTTCAAATGAACCTCAGTAACTGCTGGTGCTAATTCAAAAATCAAAAACAACAAATATCATAGACCATATTTGTTGCTGTGGCTGAAATTATGTTCTCTCCCACCTATTTTTTTAACTGACAAAGTATTAAGTATTCATTTAAAATTGAATAAGCATAAGAGATTCAACTAGGTTTTCTGAATAATGTCAAAGTGCCAAAAGTTCAAGTAGACACATGCACCATTATTCTCCAAGGAACGCCTGCATATATGTTGTCTTCTGTTTTGTTTTCATAGTAACAAGAACATTGGTAAACACATCTCATGGAAAAGGAGGCTGATCAATCAAAAGATTGTGCTAGTGAATCTTTCAGTGTGGTCAAATTCATTTCCTTTTGTGATGTGTTACTAGTAGTAAATTTCTCATATTCCATGTTTGAAATATAGAAATATTTTATCAACTTTAAGACTATTTTACCAAACACTTCCACAAGGATCTAACCAGTCAAACTACGAGCTAAATTTTATTTTAAACCTGCAATATTAATATACTACCATTTCCCCAAATTGTCCCCAAATCAATCTTAGATCAGCTTAGAATCTTAAATGCCTTTATGTAGAATAAGTAGTCTCTAACAAAGTAAATCTCATAAAATACAATCGTTGAAAAACACTATACATGCTAATAAGAAAATTTTGTATTATAATCCACCTATGCTCAAAACAAGACACTATTCAGATAATTTTCAAAAGATTCACCATTGTAATACAGTATTTTCTGCATGTGAGAAGTATACTACACATTTCAAGCCTAGTGGTCAAAGGGATTATGACACCGGAAATCTACTGTCATTAAGTGGATATTGGTAAATCCCTCCCAGCTCAAAACAAAAATGCAGTTGTAATCTGGTACCATGCCTTTTTAGGGCTCCACAGGAATTTTCTGTTAGCAATTAAAATGATTTCCACCTTACTTATATCCACCACATGTTTTGATAAACTACTGGGTTTATATCCTAATTCTCAAACCCAAACCTGGTCATGATACAATGCACTTGGTTAAAATTTTACTTTGGCACT